CTGTGGTCACAAAATTCAATGTTCTGGGAGAATTGGAAGCAGCTCCATTTTTTGGGGCCCCTTACACAGCTCAAGGTCTGGGCCCCAGGGCCTGACGGTGAGTATGCCCATAAGGCCCTCTCATAAGTTCCACCAACCCATGAGTTCGCTCACAGGGAGTGGAGTGTGTAGGGGATGTGTTATGTGTTATTGTAGAGGATCTAATATGTGTGCTTATGGTATGTAGTGTATAGGGTTACCCGTTTGTGCAGGTGTTCAGTGTGTTTGTGTGTAGTGGAAGCAGTGTGTATTTGTGTATAAGGGATGTATTATGTGTGTTTCTGGTTGTGTGTAAGGGATGCATTGTGTGAATCTGTGTTTGTATGCATAAGGGATGGGTGTGTGTCTGTATGTGTGTGCATTGAGTGTAAGAGATGCATTGTGTTTCTGTGTGTATGTAAGAAAAGAAGTGTGTGTGTTTGCATGTGTGTGTACGGGTTTGCATTGTCTGTTTCTGTGTATGTGTGCAAAGGATGCATTGTGTTTGTGTGTAAGGGTTGCATGTGTGTGTGTGTGTGTAATGGATGCATTGTGTGTTTCTCTGTGTGTAAGGGAAGCATGTTGTGTTTCTGTGTATGTATAGGGATGCATTGTGTGTGTGTGTGTGTGTGTGTGTGTGTGTGTGTGTGTGTGCGCGCGCGCAGTGTGAAAGAGCTCCCTGTCTTGGCCCCTGTCCTATAGAGCTGCCCCTTCTGTCCCGTAGAGCTCTCCCCTGCACCTTAGTGGTCTCTCCTCTCCCCCACCCTCCCCTAGCGGTCTCTTCTCACACTCACCCACCCTCCCTGTACTCTTCTCATCCCCCCCTCCACCCTCCCTGTGTTCTTCTCACTCCTCCCTCTATGTGTTCTCCTCACCCCCCCTGTGTTCGTCTTACCCCCCTCCTCCCTGTGTTCTTCTTACTTCCCCCCTTGGTCGTTTTACTTCCCCACCTGTTCTTCTTACCCCCTTCTTCTTATTGCTCCCTCTTCTTCTTCTTACTCCCCCTTCTTCTTACTCCTCCCTCCTTCTTACTCCCCCTTCTTACTTCCTCCCTCTTCTTACCCCTCTTCTTCTTACTCCCCCCTCTTCTTCTTACTCACCCTTTTTCTCCTTACCCCCTTTCTTCTTCTTACCCCCTTCTTCTTCTTACTCCGCACTCTTCTTCTTACTCCCCCCTCTTTTTCTTACTCACCCCTTCTTCTTATCTCTGCTTTTCTTATCTCCCCTCCTTCTTACTCCCCCCTCTTCTTACTCCCCCCTCCCCCTCTTCTTACTCCTCCCTCCCCTTCTTCTTACTCCCCCCCCCCCTCTTCTTACTCCCCTTCTTCTCCCCCTTCTTCTTACACCCCCCCTCTTCATACTCACCCCTCCCCCTGTTCTTACCCCCACTCTTGTTACCCCCCCTCCTTCTTCTTACCCCTCCTCTCACCTCCCCTGTAGCGTGGCCGAGCTGCTCTCCAGTCCACTCAGTGTGCCCTTTCTGTCAGTCCGGCCGGATACAGGAAACTGAAACTCCGCGCGGAACAGGAGTTTCAGTTTCCTGTAACCGGCCTGACTGACAGGAAGTGCACACTGAGTGACTGAGTGTGCACCTTCCTATGACTCTGGCCGGGCACCGCGGACCGGAGAGCAGCTCGGCCACTCTACAGGGGAGGGGAGGGGAGAAGATGTGCTGCAGCCGCCTGAGGCTCTTTACAGAGCGCTCAGGCAGCTGCAGCATTAGGACCGGCCCTGCAGCGGCCGGTCTTAAAAGAATTTAGGGCGGCCTGGGGGGCAATTGCCTCCCTGCCCCCCGGCCCAGCCCGCCCCTGCTCTTCATTAGTCATTCCTCCACTGGCAGATGTGCTGTGTGAGACCACGGAACATTATTCAATATCAAACTATGCTAAAATAATTTAACACTGAATGGATGGATGGTGCCAGGTGACTCGAAGCACTGTGACTACTTCAATTAAATTAATTGGTTATGGTGCCTCTAATGTCCTTTTAAAACTGGATTGCATTACAGATGATCTATTCACAGAGAATTCTCAACTTTTAGCACAGACTAAATAATTAATACGGATTAAAAAAAATGTTCAACAGAGTGTATTTCACGAACATGTGAACTTTAAAAAAAATTCCATGATACATCTTAAAGTGAGTCCTACAGTCTGGATCTGTCAATAACCATTTCAGAACAAACACTCTGCAACACATTTTGTTTCCTTCATGTATTTTATAATATACACAGAAAATGAATAGTTGTGTTCTTTCATAAAGGTACCAGACACACACTTTGTCTGTCACTCTAAAGATTATTTCTTTATGTTTTAAATGAGAATAAAATCTGATAAAATGTCCAGTAGGACAAGAACGCAAATCAAATCAAATACAAAAAAAATTGGTGTGTTCATCTTCCGCGGATATGAATAGCTTGGCCCGAAACTAACCTAATACAGACCTGCTCTATGAATTTTAGTACAAAAAAACTGCATCTAGGTGACAGCCAGATATTTATCTCCATATTCCTCTGGCATGATGTAAAAAAAAACAGGTAAAATAACACCATTAGGAAACGGGTAAAAACACACCATTAGGCTCACTAATCAGGGTACACACAAAGAGCAAGAAATCACCACAATCTGCATTGTTTTCACATCAAGGTACACATACAGTGACTTATTGGTCTTTGTCACAGATTTTGTGCTTAAACAAATGACACAATTTGACTATTTCAGTAAGAAGCCTACTAGCATTCTGCATGAAGGTCATATACAATCAATTCTTAAGCATCAGAAAAAAAGAAAAAAAAAAAAGAGTACCAACTTCATTATTTCTATGTAAGGACGTGAGAGTTGTACAGTTTATAATAGGAAAGTGAATCTAAAATTCCACTACAATGTTACAATATGTACAAATTTTACAACTGTCATCAGCATAGGGGTAAAAACTATGAACAGGGCTCCCAAATATCTTGCTTTCAGTGGGACAGTTCTGATTTTGAAGTCCTGTTTTCTATCCCGTTTTAGTTCTCTAGTGTCCCGCATTCATGGGGATCAGGAAGCAGCCCTAGGGCAGCACAGCTCTCTGTGGCGGGTACTAGGACTATGCATATAGCTCTTAAAGTAGCGCTCAATGCATAGTCCTGTGTAGTGGGGGCCAACAAGGGACCTGTCTGTCAGCCTTGGTGACAAGAGTATGCCCACTTTCCAGATGGGCCCTCCCATTATGGGTATGGACAGTGATGCAAGTTGCCCCTTGAGACCCATGCATTCTGATTTTATACCTCCCTCTATGTTGGGAGGTATGTATAAATACAGTCATCATTCCTCTTTTTCCTGCACAAATCACAAGGGCAGCATTTCACAATACCTTGAATGCATTCACTCAAGTCCACTGAAGCAATGATTTTGGCTATGAAAAAAATGACAAGCACACCAGTTATCACATACAATTTCCAGGGGGCGGAGCAGGGAGTGGAGCCAAACACAACCCTGGCTAATCAGCAACTCAAAATAGAGATGCATTTAATCAATGCATCTCTATGAGGAATGTTCAGCATCTCTATGCAAAGCACCTCTGAGGAGTGGCCACTAGAGGTGTTCCTAGGTATAACTGAAACGTTTAAATTCTGCCAAATCATTTTTTCAAAAACAGAACATTTTTGGGTACTTATCACTGAAAAGGCTTGTCTTCAAGGACATAGTGTAGACACCAGAACAACTACATTAAACTGTAGTTGTTCTGGTGACTATAGCGTCCCTTTAATTTTGGGAATTAGCAGTGAAAGGCAATATCAGGTTCTGTTTCAGGGAGAGAAAAACCCTCAAAACTACAAATTTTCTTTGATAAAATTCTATACTGGTACATAGAAAAGGGGTAAGACACTATGATGTAGAGACTGGTTACTGGTAATGTTGTGTGACTGGGATCCAAATCTGGGTTTCCCAGTTCTAGGGCAGAGGTGTTATATAGAACCATACATGGTCCCCACCACAACACAACAATCTTCAAACAGAAAGAAAAATAAGACAACAAAATGCAAAAATAGAAGATAAAGAAGGATTATATGCAAACAAAATGTGAAAAATCTTCTTTACGTATTTATTTTATTATATATACATGTGCATGACTAATCTATCTCTTTACTGTGCCTTTCAGATAGCTAAAGTAGAATCGTATTTAGAATAAAATATGTGGTATGTAATTTGAAACAGAAAAATTAGGCCATATTGTTTAACATATCTGAAAACAGAAATGAGCTTGCTTTTTTTTATGTAAGAATAAAAAGACATCTCTAACAGATGTGCAGAGGATAATCTTTGCGCACTAGCAAATATTCACAGCGGATACAATAAAAGACAGGAAGATCTATGCAGAATACATTCTTAATGTTACTATCTGAAGACGACCAACAAAGCTCAAGGTTCCTGCAATGTTACTGGAATGTGAATAATATGTGGTGTGTGCTAAGTGTATTGTTAGTGTAAGACTCTGAATAAAGCAAATTAAGAAACTGTAATTACATTTACACACCCTGTTAATTGTTCAAATTTAATTGCAAAAAGCAATTATTATTCAATAGTTAATTGCAAATTCCACTTCCTTGACTATTAATATCAATGGTTTCCTACTGTTGCAGCTATTTTGCATTGAACATTATAAGAAGAGCAATGCATTTATGGAAGAAAAAGGGAGACATGCACTGGATTGTCATTTCATCTTCAGTGATTTCTGTTTAAAGTATATTTATCGTGAGAATAGATGTAAAATTGAGACAGAAATTTAACTTGGGAAATTAAATTTTTACATTTTATATACACCGTTATCATAGAGTGTTGAAATGCATATACCATTCCTAGATTATTTTTAATCTGCTCAGCACATTTTTTTATATAAACAAATCCATAATATTTGTAACTAACCTCAGAGGTTCTTTTCCTCACATAGTGAAAGGTTGGAGCTACTCATTAAATCAGACCTAGATTACCCGTTAGGTGACCAAGGCAGCCGTCTAGGTCCCAGGCTAGAGGGAATATTGGGGTATGTACCAATATCAGAGACAGACCACTTTAAGGGTGCCCTCACAGTCCCCTGGTCCTTCTTCAGGGCCGGCGCGTCCATAAGGCGGCACAGGCGGCCGCCTTAGGGCGCACCGGCTCTGGGGGCGCAAAATTCCAGTGACCGGCAGGAGGGAAGTGCTCCCTCCTGCCAGGTCACCTCCTGGATCCCCGGCGCGGCGTGCGGCTTATTTGGATGCCGAGGGAGCTCTGATCTCTCTGATGTGCTCCCTCGCAGGCTGTTTACTGATGACGTCATATTCCGGCTCCCGCGGCAGCAGTAAACAGCCTGCGAGGGAGCAGATCAGAGAGATCAGAGCTCCCTCGGCATCCAATTCAGCCGCATACTTTAAAGTCTGCACCGAGGCCAAGATTTCTGGGTATTCCTGCTAAAACAAAGTTTGATTCATTGGTTTCAATCATTTGGTTTCACATGTGTGTCCTTGGGAATCTCAAATCCAGAATATTAGTCTATAGGCTTACCTTAGCAAGCTTATTAGGGTAACATACTTACAAATACACTTACTGTATATTGTCACACATATCTAGCTAGATTAGGACACATCTGA